AGGGTTTGCGTGGTGGGGTGAGTTGGTTTTAGTGGCCACAGAGGGTTTGCGTGGTGGGGTGAGTTGGTTTTAGTGGCCACAGAGGGTTTGCGTGGCCAGGAGGGAAGCATGTGTTGTGATTTCCAGAATAAACCTGAACTTACTGAAGTGGGTATTAAGACGAAAAGGGGGTGCAGCGGCGCTCGCCAGGGCAGCAGCCGGCCCCGCGGGTGGTGTGAGGCGGTGGGACGCTGCTAATGGCCTGGCCTCCTCTCCCGCTTCACCCAGGGGGCTCTCAGGAGCGGAGATGGTGTCCTTCCTGGCCAGGAGCGGAGGGCCCAGAGCGCAGGGCGCACAGCCAAGGGCCAGAAGCCTGCGGGCCAGAGCAAGAAAGGCGGCGAAGCGGCAGAGGCTGATGAGTAAGCAGCGGGACAGGCCTGGAGGGGCAGGTGGCGCCCCGGCCCTGACCCCTGACTGCTGCCCTCTCCCTCCTCAGTCTCTTCTCCCCTCCTCGGAAACCCTCCTTCCCCTTCCAGTGGGCCTGGGAGAGCTTCACAGCAGAAAGCCGGTCTCTGCCTCAGGGCCCCTTGGCCTCCCACCACCCAGGCCTGCCCTTGCCCCCAGCGGTTCCCCAGCACAAGCCCAGGGCCAAGTCCACTGCCCACCTCCCAGAGACCAGCGGGTTCTGCGGGAACAAAGACTTGCTGAGCCAGGAGAGGAGGCAGCCGCTCAGGGCCTGGGGCCGTGACTCTGGGCAGGCCGGCAGAGCAGAGGGCCGCGGGCCGGAGTGCCCCCGGGAGGGCGCCCTGCGGGTGCCCAGGGAGAGACCAGGCTCAGGGCCGGGGTCCAGGCAGGCCCCTGAGCTGGAGGCCGAGAGGGGCCTGAGCCCCAGAGACCAGCACCAGCTGCCCAGGCAGGGGTCTGCCTTGGAAGGGGGGCGGTTTGCAGAGGTGACAGAGGAGGCTGAGGATGGGGAGCACAGGGACCCCCACAGGAGGAGGGCTCGTTCTCAGATAAAGGGGTGGCATTCCGGTGAGGAGGCCTGGGCTGAGGGTGGACCCCAGTGTCCAGGGAGCGACTCCAGCTCCAACAGCCCCCAAGGGCAGCAGTGGAGAAAGGCCAGGGCCAAGGAGCTGGAGGGGCCGCGGGGCCTGGAGCAGCTGCAGCGGCAGTTCCAGAAGCACCTGAGCTGTGGTGAGTGTGGGGCTCCAGGAGGCCGCATACGGAAGGGGGGCAGGAGCCCGGGCAGGGCCGGGCGGGACCCCGTGCTGGGGGGTGCCCCGCAGGCTGGGGGAGGCAGGTTCTGACTTGTTCCCCTCGGACAGGCCACGAAAAGCCGCCCTGGAAGGCTCTGTGGACGCCCGTCCAGGCCTCCGACCCGAGCGGGAAGGCCCCTGCCTCGGCTGACGCCGAGACGAGCCGGTGTGCCGACTTGCCTAACCGAACCTTCTGCAAGCGGCGGGAGGCCACCAGGTAGGGCGCAGGAGGAAAAGGCGGGAACCACGCAAGGGGTCGAGGAGGCGGCTCTCCGAGAGGCACTCAGCCAGGCATCCCCACAACAGCCTTCATTCTCAGCTGCCCCGGCTCTCAGCTAGTCCTCCCACCCACCCGCCACCCATCCCCACCCGTCTCCCATCCCCCATCCATCCACCCATCACCCACTCACCACCACCCACCGTCCCGCCCTCCCTCTGGTTTGCCAACTATCCATTGACACGAGTAATGTGTCATCCATTTCCCATCTCCTGCCCTTCCATTCATCTACTGGCTAAGTGGCGCTAACACCTACTGAGGTGCACTCATGGGCCTTCAGGATAGAAAGATAACAGGCTTTACCCCAACCCGAGCAGCCCGAGGCCACCGGACCGGGGCCAGCCGGACAAGCACCCACGCGGAGCTGCTGGACTAGGGGCTGCAGCGAAGTCCACAGGGGCAGAGTGGGGAGATGGGCACATCCCAGGCTGCAGACTTCCAGATAGGGTAGGCCGTGGGGTGCGCCCCAGTATAGCCTCCATCCTGTCCGGCTTCCACGACAACACCGTTCGCCACGACCTTGGCTCGCTGGGCTCCTACATTCCCGCCCTATGAGGTTCCTGTGCCCCAAAGAACTCTCCCACTCTGCCCCCCACCTTCCAGATGCCTGCTGCAGGCGTGGGAGCGGCAGGAGCAGGAGCAGCAGCTGCAGGCCGAGCTGCGGAGGGCCCGGGTGCAGCGGGTGCAGAAGCAGGTGGCCCGCTGCCTGGCGGCCTATGAGCCCAGAGGAGGCCACGGGCCCAGGGCCACTCAGCGCAAGGTGGAGGAGCTGAGGTAGGATGCTTGGAGCTGCGGAGGGCCGGGTGGGCAGACAGGCAGCCCGAGGTGTGAGAGGAAGGGGAAGGACAGAGGAGACCCCTCAGCTTCCGGCAGGCCTGAGCCCCCTGCCCAGGCTGCCAGCCCGGTCACCTTGCCCCTGGCTGGGAGGAAGACAGAGGCACAGGGGCTGGTCCAAGGTCGCCTGGGTATTAAGGACAGTCTCTGCAGCTGTCAGCTAGCTCCAGGTTAGATTGTGCTACGAGCATCAACACACTGTCAAGTCTTGTTTCTCCGATTTCACAAGCTGGTCTTGCTTTAGAAGTTCAAAGCCAGCAGGTCTAGATTAAAACAGCCCAAACAGGAGTCTAGGAGACCCGTGTGGTCTCTGAGCCGTGTGTCCAGGGGCCATCTCGCTGCCAGGACGCTCTGCTGTTGAGCAAACACATCCCTGACAAGCCATGCGCAGGGTTTTATAAATGGACTTGACCCCCGGGGCAACCTTGACTGTCCCAGGGCTGACTGCTCATTGGCAATGTGTTTCTTCAGGCCCCAGCCTCATTCCTGAGCTAGCTGCCTATAAGAACCACAGAGCAAGCTGCCAAGCGTGCTCTCTCCCTCGGGAGCTGGAGCTGCAGCTTCCCTGTCCCGGCCGGGGGGCGTCTCCCTGAGGGTGGTTGGGAGCAGGAAGCCACGACCGCACAGCCCGGTGGCTCCTGCTTAGGGCTCCTCAATCTTCAGCGGCTACCCTTGGAGAGATCCCTCCATGGTGTGGTGTCCTGGAAGCCGTGGAAGCTGCTGGCCAGGCCGCCATCTCCCGGCTCCCGTGGACACTCGCTCGCCCATCTTGGCAGCCCCGCCCCCTCATCTTGCAGCAGTCTCGGTCTCCGGGTGGTCCTGCTGCCCTTCCAGCCTCCTGCTGGGCCCAGGCATGTGCATCCCCACACGCGGACCAGGGTCCAGGTGCCCAGAGGCAGCAGGGCGAGGCCGCAAGTGGTGGCCACAGAGGCTACTGGCGGGAGGGCACAAAGGAGCCCTCATTTACCCCACACTCGGATGAAGGGGTGAACGGCCGCCCCAGCCCACTGACCTCTCAGGATGAGAACCGCAGTGAGTGGGCTTCGGGAAGGCAAGGGCACAGGCCTCGGGCCCTTGGCGAGTGGGAGGCTGAGAGCGGCGGCTCCCGCAGGCGCCAGGAGAGGCAGCGCGCCGCAGAGTACCAGGAGGAGCTGCGAGGCATCCAGCACAGGGTGCAGGCCCGGCCCTACCTGTTCCAGCAGGCTATGCAGGTGAGGGCCGGCACTGGGCTAGGACTTCTCAGGCTGAGTAGGCAGGGGAGAGGTGGGCGGGGCCCCTAGAGGGGCCCTGGGTCGCTGTCCTGGAAGTGCCAGAGCCCCAGCGTGTCTTTGCCCCCTTGGGCAAAGTGGGACCCCTCCTCTCTCCTCAGACCAATGCCCGGCTCACGGTCACGAGGCACTTCTCCCAGGTGCTGTCCGCACTGGGGCTGAACGAGGAGCAGCTGCTGGCTGGGACTGGGAAAGGGACTACGGAGGGCACCTCCAGGAAGCCCAGGTGAGGTCAGCCAGCTGCCACCAACTTGCTCTGCCAGGCTGCGGGGCAGGAGGGACTGGCCCGCTGGGCTCCGCAGGGTCGTCCTAGGGGTCTCCACCCCCACCACGCCCCAAGACTGGGGCGGGATGTCTGGGGACATTCAGGGCTCTGTGGGCAGGTACCTCCATCCACCCAAAGTCCAGCTTCAGTGCTGCCCTGTCCTCCGGGTTGGCGGCTAGCCATCAGCAGGGCCTCCCTCCCCACCCAAGAAGGGGGGGGGCCAGCATTACTTTCCCCTAGGACTTGCCCCAGGACACGGAGGGTAGAACACATGCCACACACCCCCACCCCCTTGGACACATCGGTCACTCAGCCACCCCACAAATGCTGTGCCTTATGCTTTAGAACCGCCTGGTGCAGAGACGAGATTACAAAGTCCGACTCACAATAAGGAAACTGAGGCTGAAGGAGGGAAAGTCATCTGCCCACAGTCACTGATGGAGCCCAGGAGCCCGACTTGAACGTGCCTCATCCGTGACGATGGCCTTCCTTCCACAAACCAGATCTCCCTGGGTACTGGGGTGGGGAGTGGCAGCGCCTGTTTTCCTCTTTAGGGAGCCACAGTTCAGGAGGGTGACAGTGAACCTCCTCAGAGCCCCCTAAGGACAGGTCAGCCTGACAGGTACTGCCCCCAGCTCCCAGGCCAGGAGCCCAGCCCCGGATTTAAAATTAAATGTCTGATGGAAAATAAGTGTGGGGTTTCTGGTGGCAACAGTGTGGGGTTTCTGGTGGCAGCCGTGGAAGGCTGCGGGTGGGAAGAAGCGGCGGGTGGGGCCGGGAGTGGGAGGTGGCAGGTGGGCAGGCAGCGGGCTTAGCCGGCACCCCTCCCCCAGGAGCGCGGGTGGTTCTGGCTGCCCCCACCCCAAGCACAGCCTAGCTCCTGCTCTGGGTGCATAAGCAGATGGCAGAGCAACTGCGGCAGGGCGCCGCCCCCCACACAATTTAAATGGTGGGCCCTAGAAATCCAAGAGCGAATAGTGCCCAACGGAGCGTGCCACTGGCACCCCCAGTCCGATGAGGGAGGCGGCGCCCTTTAAGGGAGCAATTATACCACATCTTAGCAGATGGTGAGGTTGGCGGCACAAGGGGCCGCCAGATTGAGCAATTGTGAGGGGTGTCGACAGGGACTGTTTTCCACTTTTAAGTGACTTCAAGTTGCAGCTTTCAGGAAAAAGAAAAGCCACGGTGCTCCGGGCGCCGCTCGGCTCGGATGGAGCGCCTCGGCAGCCTCACGGACCCGACCCAGGGGGCGCGGGGGCAGCACCC